GACTCAAGTGTGTGTTTCTAAGAAACAAAACCATTGTTACAGCATTTTAAAGTGAAACCATCCCTTTTGGCTAAAATACCAGTACATAATTCATAATAACGCTTCCTCCAGTGAAAAAGTCCAACCCCTGTTGCCCTCTCACATCAAAATCCACCGTTCTGGACTGTTCTCGCTTGTAAACGGTGCTTGATCTGTGCATATTTTTCTTCTGACTCAGACAAGATGGCTTTTATACTGAAAGAGCCAATATTACGGATAGAGGACTCATATTTTTAGCAGGAAGCAACGGTTTGAAGTTAAAAATGTCTTAATGATGGATTTGTTTATTATAAACACACAGTTTTTCTCTTCACACGACATTAACTGATGGACTGGAGCAGTGTGGATTACTTGTGGATTATTGTGATGTTTTTATCAGCTGTTTGGACTCTCATTCTGACGGCACCCATTCACTGCAGAGGATCCATTGGTGAGCAAGTGATGCAATGCTACATTTCTCCGAATCTGTTCTGATGAAGAAACAAACTCATCTACATCTTGGATGGCCTAAGGGTGAGGAAATGTTCAGCAAATCTTCATTTTACAAATGCATTGAACATTCAATACAATTATGCACACTTTATTTTCACACAGACAGGCTGGTCCTTTTGCTGGTTTTAAAGTGGTTTTGGGCAATGTTTTTTTCTGGTGACGATGGGAAAACAGCAAGCTGGCTAGCTTAATAAGGTAAAATCAGCTTAGCCGGGCTGGAAGACCAGATTAAACCAGCTAAGACTAGCAAACAAGTTTTGCTAGCTGTTTTTTTTCAGCAAGGATGTGGCGCAATGTCCAAAGATGTGCATCTGTCACTTGTCTGCATTAACCAACAACTAAAAAAATAGCATAATCAGAATGCATAAATACATCTTGTGAACAGAGGTGCTTCACGCAGTGTTTATAAAGCCAAAATGCAACCGACACACCACCTGAACAGTTTCAGTAAAACAAAAAAAAAAGCCTCTGACACAGATGAGGGGGGTGATTAGGTGTCACAGGACTGGAGGTTTATCTGATGAGATACAGCTTGCTCTTTAAGGCTGTTTTTGGGAGGTGAGTTCATAGCTGAATTCATCAGGGGAGTGACCCGCGTTCACCACCCCTACAGCTCTTCTGCAGGGAGGAGAAAGTGCTGAAAAATCAGCAATTCTTTCAACATGCAGCTCAGAGGTTCAGCGCAGACCATTTGTCAACCTTTCACACCTCACAGCACCTTGTCTTCCATCACATCATCTCCTCCACTAGGGATGCACCGATACCGGGCCCGATACTGGTCTCCTGTACTCGCACTCGTACTCGTTAAAATGCCCCGATACCAAACACCGATACCACACATGTGATAAGCGCCATATTCAAACAATGAAACACCGACAACAGAACAATAGACAGCAGAAAGGAGTTAAGGATGTCTACTACGAAGTATATGTATGCAATGAATATGATGTTAAACATTCAGTATTAACGCCTGTATAGCTGATGTGCGCGAGCTGATAAACAAAGCACGCTGAGTGGATTGAGCGCGCGGCGGCGCAGATGCACGAGCTTGTCGAGTGAATATATCTTTCTCACAGACATCACTGGAAAGTTTGTAGTTCGGTCAGATATGTCAAAAACAAGTAAGTAAAACAATGCACAAGTTACTTAACGGTAGGGAGAGAGAGAGAGAGCGAGAG